TAATGTTTCCTTTTAAGCAAAATAAGAACACAGAACCTTAGCTTTGATTCATGACATAAAACAAGCTTTGCACATTTATAGTCACCACAAAACATTTTACAAAAGGTGCACCCAAGTCTTTATTGTTAAAGCAGTTGATCAGGCTGCCTGGAATCTTTAAATTTGTAAATCCATGATTTCCTGTTTCTCTGAGGTTTAAATATGGCCTCCATTAAAGTCAAATTTATTTTGGCTGTTCTTAAAAATAGGGAAAACAAATTAGAGCATAGAGCTAAAGTACAGTAAGCTGTTTACTGACTCAAAGCAGCACATATCTACAGCTTCATAACGACTGCTCACTACATGCCAAATAGAAAGGCTCTTTTAATGATTCCTCACCAAACACTTCCTGGACTTTAAATACAACCATGATTAGAATAGGATCTTTTTTTCTTTTTTATTACAAAAACACTTCATGTTAGTCAGAAAGAACAGACAATTGAGTGGGAAACTATGATGGAGGATCTGTGATGCTGTCGGCTTGGTTCTCTTGCAAAGTGAGGCTATGACATCATGGACTTTTATTTAGATGCAACTTGATTGCCTCTAGCAGGGCAGTGATCCAAACGACAAAGAAATGCTTCCACAGATAAAAACTAAAACTTCTATGACCAAAGAAAAGCCGAACACAGGAGCAGAGAACGATCAGATATCTAGTCTTTAACTATGAAATGTTAAAGCCTAGAAACTGGCTTCCCTCTGCAGAAAGGTAGTCATACAATCGATTGTTAAAACAATTTTTCATTTTATTTTTTTACAGAACAATGGAAGTTATTATAATGGCATTTAAAAAAAGCTTTTTGATGAGTTTATGTTGGTGTAATCATACTTTATTTCTAAAGGACAAACTATGTTTAACTTATATATCTTAAAATAAATATAAATCTACTAAATGTACTAGAGAATTAACCTGTTCAAAGACAGAGAAGAGTCTTCAAGGTCATAGAGATTAGTTAAGTGTTATAATCATGGCTTTATATCAAATGAATTATATAATGTAAGGATTTCAACAGTTATCTAGGGCAAACTCTGAAATAAGGATCTAAACTAGGTTTGAGGCGATGTCTCTTTTTGTACAATTTTCAGGCAAATTTTTTGTTTTTTTTTGTTTTACATCTACAGTGTTGGTAAAATAACTTAATTTAGTAACAGTTTTAACCTACTTGAAGACAGTTTACATGCAAAGATTAGTAGGAAAGGATCAAATCTAGTTGTTCTTGTGGGTTTTTTTACATGATTGTGAGCACCAGGTCAGACATTTAAATTCCCCTGCACAGAAACATCAGCTTGGTTTCTCTTCACATGGTCATTCCTGTTAAGGGTAAAAGTCTTCAGAGTGAATAATAAAGTCTAAAAATACATTATTATTCACTGAAATAAATATTAAAGTCTTTACCAACACACTCTGCTTTATATATAGACTCACATCAGCAATATAACCTGAGATACATCTTAAATGTTCACAAAAATGACTGAAGAAAATATATGTGGACAATCTGAGAAAGGAACTGTTGGATGTTTAAGGATTATCCAGAGTTGGGTTTATTGTGAATAAAATGCAACTGTACCAGAGCTAAACAACATCCACTTTGATAAAAAAAAATAAGAAAAAAAAAATGCATCCTGTAATGAATGGAGCTATTTCCTTACAGACAGCAGTAACAAATATATGTTTCTGAGCTTGGTAAAAACAGGAGCAATGCTACTGTATCCATCTTCCACTTAAATGTTTTATCGAGAAATCATCTATTTTGGCCTTTTCTGCAGAAATTTCCTTGCTTTATTTATTTGATGTGAGTCATGATGCAAATTAGTTTTGAAAAATCTATCAGACTTTAGCTTTAAACTCTTCCTTATTTCTGTGCATAGAGTCATCAGTGTTCAGCTTAGTGTGGTGGCTAAACGATGCAAAGCAGCAGCAAACCAGCCTGCTATGAAGCAGAAAAATATTCCAAAATAAAAACTTTAATAAAGAGAAAAAATAGACTGAAGCAGAAGGAAAAAGGCAGGGATAAATACTGCAAATTCATTGTATAAAAACCCCTACTGTTCCACACCACTAGGGGGAGCCAAACACACAGTAATGTCGGACCAGACCTTCAGTAATCTCATCACTATGGTGGGCAGATGAGAGCTGGAGGGAGGAAATAAAAGCTACATTATTCTTCGTGTAACTGTTAAGCGTGTAGAAATATATAAATATTAAAGAACAGCAGCTAAGTAGGTACATTACGCTCTAGTCTCATCTGACTTGCTGATTGTCTCCCCCTGGTGGTCTAATGCACTTAACCACTTAAGGTAGAAGCTTTTTGTATTATTGTTAATATTTTTATTGCTGTTATTGTTTTTGTATTTTCGGCCATTCTGTTTTTTTTTTTTATGATTGTATACTATTTTTCTTTATTTTAGTTTTGTCTTTAAGGGTGTTTCGCCGTTTTCAGCGAACATCCTCGTTTGTGCCTATCGGCCACCGTAGCTTCTTGAGGCAGAAAAAATAAAAAATTTTGCTGTCATTTCCTTTTGTTTTTATTTATCCTGTATTATTATGCAAGTAACACTTGTATTTATGTTTTTGTAGTGAATTAAATAAAGTTAAAAGACTAAAAAATAAAACTGTGAAACTTAACTATTTAAAATAGAGTCAGTGCTGAAATGAGTAAATGTTTTTTTTTCTTCTGTTAATCACACTTATTTTATTTTAAAATGTGTATGTGGATTAATTTCAATATCAGGTTATAAACAAAATATATGATTACCTTTTTGTTTTTGCGACACATTTCATGCACAAGCTTCAAAAAAAGATTCCAACTGTTTTAAGATTTGTCATTTTTCTATTACAAAAAAAAAAAGAAATAAGAAACAAAATGCATTCAGTTTTAAGACATTTATTATTTATTCACCAAGACAAAACAAAAGTGCTGCCTTAGCATTTATATTAGTTTCCATAAAGCATCTGATTTGAAACACCAGATTTAAGAGCATGCAGAAACGAACAGTAGGAATATGTTGTTGGTCACCAACTGAACAGGCTGCAAACACTGCTAATACAATGATAAGATTGTTAGAAGAAAACAGCTGTGATGACTCCTATATATTCAAGGGCTGGATGTTTTTTTTTTTTTTACTTAAATAAAGCTAATATGGTGTTAAAAGTTTATCCTGATTACAAAAATAATATTAAAGATTATTAACAAACTAAAGCTGCTGTATCTGTATGAAAAGGAGCTGCAATGTTACCTTCTATGCTGTTAAAGTACATTCTTCCTTCACTCTTTCTGTGTCATGAATAGAGAGATGGATTCTCAGCGCAGAACATGAAGAAGGCAGGAACTTCAGCACATCCAACACATGATCTCCACCAAATGTTACAAGCTTTGGAGAAAATATTCACTTAATATTCTGTTGGTGGACTGATGGACATCTATGCTCCTGTGTATCACCAAGGATCTACAGTATTGTCATTCTTATGTGGGATATTTTTGTTTAATAGTTTAGTCTCCAGCTTCTCCTCTCTTTAAAGTCTCAGTAAAGTGCCTTCCACCCCATCCTCGTCTCTTTTTTTCCACCTATGCCGGGGATTTTGACTCAAAGAAATGGGTGTAGAGATTGTTTTCGCGCCATATGCTTGCTCTTCCTCAGAAGCAAACGGAGTGTGTCTGCAATGAAATTATTCAGTTGTTATATAATTGCTTCCTGGATTAGAGTGAGGTCTGCTGCTAGAGCTTGAAATAAAAGAATACCAGAATAAATCATGAGTGCTCCTCGGCGCTGCCGCTGAAGGAACGGCTCCTGATGTGGTTCCTTAGCTGCTCGATGAGCTCCGGGTTCTGCTGCTGAATTTGTTGGGCAAACTGTTGGCCTCTGATGAGAAGCAAAGAGAAAGGAAGTCAGTGTCTCCTGCTCTTTAACCTCCAAAAAACTTTGTGAGTTTAAAATGTAAAAATTAATTAGAAGCTCTATTTGGTTAAAATAAATGTCTAAAGATTAAAAATTTTAAGTTCAGGCCACAACATAGTTTGAAAAGGAAAATAGAAGGACATGTTCATCCTTCTACTGAAAGTGTAACACCTCTTATTAGAGCAATGGGTGGGTACAGAATAAGAAATTTAATAAAAACTGCTTAACCCTAAAAGTAATAACTACAATCTCTGCACTACCAGCAGATGGGTTTTTCATTGTGGAAGAATTTGATCCAGTTCTTTTTTATTTTTTATTTTAGCCAAATATGAGGGTTTCTAACACTGGCGTTCACAGACATTTTTGGGGACAGGTGCTCAGGACGGAAAAATGGCACCTTATACCGCCTGATGCTGAGGTTTAACAGTCCATAGGTAGCCATGTCACATTGGTGTCTTGATTTGAGTGGGTATATATGATGATTTGCAGATGAACTGAGATTTACATTTAAAATAAGAAAAAAAACCAACTCTATTGTCTTATTTCAACTGCATAACATATAATAATCTTATTTTAAGATTAAAAACTTGTTCCACTGAGAGATCATCTTATATTCCTGTTCAGATTGGGGACAAATAATTATTTTTTTAGAATATTGTATATATTTTTAGGTCAATTTTTGCAGTCCCAGATGTCTGTCAATAAACACATAAATTGAAAATGCAAATTAATCTACACACCCCACGTCAATTGAATAGAAGCTATTTTTACGAATTGTCATCCTTTTGCCTGGTTTGCTTTTAAATGAAATGTTTAACAGACAAAAGGTAACTTGAGTGCTGCAGTTGCTATAAAAAAAAAAAAGATGTGAATCAAATAGATGTCATCAGCAAGTCCCTGACAGGAACCTTTACAGCAAATCAAAAATGACATCTATGAGAAGATTTAAATATATATATTTTTTCTAATTTATCAAATTGTTTCATTTGAAACCTTTCCTTGGCGCCTGGTAGAGGCCTTTAAAGACATTATACTATGAACTAACTGGTTGGTGAAGGAGGTAAATATGCTTGTTTAGTTACCCATCACCAGAATAAGGCTCTATTAAGGTGGTGCTACATGCCTGGTCGAGCCAAATTACAAAAATCAGGACTCTGGGTTTGAAAGGCTTTTAAAGTCATATGTGTTATTTTAGGTAAAATACTAAAAAATATTGTGTCAGAAGGGCACTTTTTCTGTCCAGAGGAGAAAAGGGCAGGTGCTTCAGCACCACCTAGTGTCTATCTGTGCACGCCACTGGTTTCTAATCATTAACAACATGAGAAAGGCTGTACAATGCATCCAGACTTTAACTAGACCAATCCAACGCCTTCATTTTTTGTTTCTTTTAAGCCACTGGGAGATGCTGGGGTGCTTTAACACAGGCATCCCCAACCTTGGTCCTGCAGGCCCGCTGTCCTGCAGGTTTTAGAGGTTTCCCTGCTTTAGCACAGCTGGTTATAATGATTGCAGTAGAACAAAAGCCTGTTAATCAGCTTTCAATTAAAATCAGCTGTGCTGGAGCAAGGAAACCTCTAAAACCTGCAGGAAAGCGGCCCTCGAAGACCGAAGTTGGGGATGCCTGCTTTAACGCATCCTGCTGTTTCAGGTGAGTGTGCTGCAGGTTTTCTGGCAGAGTGCAGAATTAATGGCTCTAATTATAGCGAACCTGCAGCTGCTGTACAAAAACAAACTACCACCAGACTTACTGTCTGTGTGAAAACTTTTGTTTTAATAACTGCCTAATTAAAGCCACAATGTTCCAATTTAGTCTACAAACCATGTAGCCTACATTTTTAAGTGAATTTAATATACTTTTTGAAGTAACTTTGCTTTTTTTTTCATCTGATCTCGAGCTTCTTTAAATTTCTTCAGCTTTTCTGGATCTATTAGCTTGCAGCATGTTGTCAGACAGGTTCTATTTAAGTAATTTCTTGATTCAACAGTCCAGCTAGCAATGGTTGTAATGAACGAAATTAATGAAGCATAACCAAACGACAAAGTTAAGGATAATTTAATTAGGATTTAACAAAAGGGAGCTACCGGTATTATATTTTACCATAGGGTCAGGATTTGGATTGCTATCTTTTTTAACTGTAATGGTAAATATGTAACTTAAAACTTTTTTGCCCTGTAAGTTGCTGGTAACCTTAATTTCCGGAGGGAGTCTTCCCAAGGGATCAATAAAGTTCTGTCTAAGTCTAAGTCTGAATAATTGATATTAGAAGATCGCAATCTATATTTATTCTTATCTTTAACTGCTATTTTGAAAATGTGATAATATGAAGCATTTATCTGTAGCTAAAAGAGCATTTGCCTGATGATGCCTTCAAAAGCAAACCCCCATGACTGCTGTCACCTAATACTTGTGGTATTAAATACATAAAAGAGAGCTTTGCATTATGTATCACAGCCAATTTCTTATTTCTCAGTTGTTTTCCTGCCAGGAAATGAATACCAACAGCAGCAGCTGGATTTAATTCTGCTCCTAAAGCCTCATAAAGTGATGAAACACAGATGTCTAAAAAAAAACACAACATTTACAAATCATCTGTCTTGCATTCTTCTACTTACGCCTCAATCAAGCTGGAAATGTCTGACAGTCCTCCCACCCCTGCTGCAGGACCTCTCACTGCATTCGACATCATCCCTGACATGCTGAGCACACAGAGACAGTGAGTTGGTGTGTACTGAAACTTGCTTAGAGCTGATTCCAAACATTATTCAATCCGGGCTGCACTCACAGCTGTTGGACTTGTTGGTTCTGCATCACACTGGCAGCCTGTAAACAGATATCAAGCTGAAATCAATCGTGTCTCACACACGCTGTAAAAAAAAAAACAATTTACTGCTGATCGCACTGGCGGTTTTATGACAAAACATGGCCCATAATTCCTTGCTGAGGAGGGGGCTGGGTGCAGCTATGCTATTGGACTCAGATGGGTCTTGTCATAACTGCAGTAAAATTCTGGCAGGTTTGCAGAAGCGTTCTTGGCCTGGTTGACACATCCATTTCTCATAGTTTTATATCTTAGGGTGTTTTAACAAGACAATAACCGGAGTTGGACAATACACACAATACAGTTATTAGGAGTCTCACCATGCTGATGAAGGCAGGATTGTTGATTAAACTAGCCATGTCAAACCCCAATCCAGCAGCAATCTGTTCCAGAGAACAGGTGATAAACAAAGAGATCTTTCAATTAACAGCAAACAAATTAGCAGTCAGAAACTCAAATAAAAGATCTTCATTTTAACTCACTGGGCTGGAGGCTTCTTTATGCTTCTGCTCTGCAATCTTCAGGTTGGATTTGTAAGTGTCGTTGTCCGGATCCAGAACCAGGGCTTTTTTGAAGTATGAAATCGCCTCTGGATACTTGTTCATAGAGGTTAAAGCCAAACTGCAGCCAGAAAAACCAATGTAAACAAATTAGAGATTTGTTCAAAATGCGAGGACCTTGAAAATAAATAAAATCTCTGCTTTAGATGTGTAAAAGGCCCTAAAAGGGCGGGAATGTTAGTGGACTGTGCAAAAAGTTGCAATCTCCAGGGAATTTGTCCAGAACTTTAAAGATACCGTCCCAAAATGTAAGACTTTCCAGAAGTCACCAGGTACATTACTGGAACTGGAAGTCATTGAATACTTTCCTGAGAATTATTGGGTTCTATTTCTTTAAAGATGATGTCTGTAACTTCAGCGTCACCACGGCTGTTCATACAAATGTCCTTCCTGACCCAGCCTTTGGAGAGCTGTGGGCAGAGAGGAATAAATGCTGGCGCACAGTTCCAGGCTGTAAAGGGGCTCATAAAATGGCTTAATGTGTTTCACTAATCTCTTCTTTTCACTGTGTGCAGAGTTCATGTTCTCCAACCATCTAGAAGGTTTAAAGAACGTACCAGTAATCCCTCCACTAAGGTTTTGGGAAAATAATAACAGGTCTACATAAGTTCCCGTATAGAAGGCTCTAGGATCCTAGACATAATAGACAAGAGCTACATGACTGATTTTAATAGAATATGTTAAATATATAAGTTGTGGTATCCATTTAAAAAAAATAACTATCTAATGCTTTTATGTTCTACTTTATATTTTCAAAATGCTCATGATGTCTCTGACGTTTTGAACAGAAAATAGGAAGCAACACTAAGCCATCTTTGAAAGGGGGACAAAAAAAACATTAACTCGAATAAGAAAAAGATGCGCTGATTTGCACAAATAAGAAACTGGTCATAAAAAAAAAATGGTCTAAAGTTTTGTATCTCAACATAAAGAAAAAACATTTTTGAAACAAGTGGAACTGTGACCAACAAACTTGGAGAAGGACCTGAGCTCTATATTTCCCACCACATCTAAGAGAGCATAGAAAAAAGAACACTGCTGAGGGAACTACAGGATATTAAGGTCACCAAGTCTCCAGAATAACTATTTTAATAATCTTTTTTACAAATCTTTACCAGGGATGCCTACCTGCACAGGTTGGCATAAGGAATCAACTCACCCCATCCTCCCATAAGCTTTGCTGTAGGTAGGATCAATCCCAATCGCTCTCTCACAGTCACCAGTAGCTTCAGTGTAATTGCCCAGTTTGCTATGAGCCGCGGCTCTGCAAACCAAAAAACAATGGTTATAATGATTATAACTGTTAAAGCTTGCAGATGTTTATAGAAAAAAAGCAGGAAGGACAACCTATGATGCTAGCATACTAACATGCCTTTTTTTGTTTTATACCTGTTGCAATAGTATACAGCATTTCTCAGGTCCAGATCTATGGCCTTTGTGTAGCATTCAACGGCACATCTGTAGTTCTCCTCCTTCATGTGATTGTTCCCTAAATGAATAATAAAAAAAAACAGGATTTCAACCTCTGCAACCTTTTTTTTTTTTTTTTTTTTATGTTAGTGACCAAAAGAAGCCTGGTTTTGAAGTGAGTCTCATTTTGAAAATGATAGATAAAAATCTGAAAAGTGTGCTGGAGAGCCAAAAGCATATAACGAAATAAATGACATAAATATGAATGTGCACCATGGAATAAATAAATGTACCATATAATATTCTTTTATTTACCCAATATAGGATTCAAATATCATATATAACATTGTAATAAATTGTAAAATGCATATTTAAAGAATTCATTTTCAATAAAAAAATGTATAGAAAAATAATTTAATGAAAAATTATTTAGAAATGAATATAACTTCACATTATATGTGTAAATAATAAAGCATGTACTTTTTCTATATATATCTATACAGTTATCTATACAGTCTGTTGTGTTGTTTGTTTTTGAGGTCACAGGCTGACATTCAGGAGAACCTCTGGTTTAGAGGTCCCTTTGTTCACCTTTATTGATCGTTCACAGCCTTTATTCAAATTAATTCTTTTGAACGTTTCAAACATAGCCGTATTCAACGATTATACAATGATAAAAATGTCCAACATCTCCAAACAGTTTCATGTTTTTGACCTGATTGTGTAGAAATGTATGTTTTAAAGCCCTGACATGTTCATAAACACCAAACATTTATCTCCCTGCATGATCTTTCATTATCTTAGAATGATCTTAGGAGTCTTACTCTCAGAGAGGAAATCCCTCAAAGCAACTTTGTACTAATTTTCAATAAATATTCTCTGCTAAAAGAAACAGTGGACCAAATCTATGCCGTTGAAATTTCACTCTAATCGGGTCAGAACCACCAGACCTCTTTACTAGGGGCGCTTGGCAGTGCAGGGTGGGACATAAAGAGACTGAACAAACTGAGAAAGGCCACTTCTGTCCTGGGCTGCAATCTGGATTACATCCATCAATGACAACACCTCTAACCCTCTGCACCAGACTGTAGAGGAGCTGAGCAGCTCCTTTAGTGAAAGACAACCTGTCTGTAAAAAGGAGCGCTACGGCAGTTCATTCATCCCTGCTGCCATCAGACTTTACAATGCAGCACTTCACCTGCAATAAGTTGTGCAATGTATAATGTGCAATTACTATTTAATAACCTGTGCAATAACTATATATATAAATACCCATTTAATACCTTGTGTAACAACCCTGTGCAATAATCCCATTAAATAATATATATATATATATATCTACATACACCTTGGCACCTTATTTTTACTATTGAGCCAATGCGACAAGTGAATTTTTCCAGTGTGAGATCAATTATCTTATCTTATTTTATCTTACTAATTGTCTTCTCTCGTCCTTTAATTAAACCATTGCTTTCAAGCTGCACTGTCACCTAAAAGCTCTCGCATATTGTTTCACCATTATTTTTATTCCAAATCCTCAATCTTTATGGGAAGATAGAAGGAGCTAAATGTAGGAAAATACTGGAAGAAAATCTGTTAAAGACTGAAACAATAAGGCCTGTTATAAAGGCCTAGTCAAAGCCAAGACTTCTCAGCTGAAAGATCTTGAAAATATTCAGAGCTCTCCATCTACGGTAGTCTAACTGGCCTTTCTTTATTATACAGAGAAAAACAAAAACAAAAAGTCTCTAAATGAAAAGCTGATAAAGACATATCCCATAAAGGATTTGCGCCTTAATATGATGTATTTTTGGATCTACTTTGGATATTTGGATCTACTTTGCTAAATGTGTCCATTTCATTAATCCTCAAAAAAACACGTCGAGATTCGTGGTTTCCTTTCAGTAAATTCTACCAAAGTCTATTCATCTGCTGGTATTACCTTCATTTTTAAGTTGCTCTGCCCGTTCAATGTCTTCAGGAGACGGGGAGCTCTCTGGTACTGTGAGGTTGTCGTTCTGCGTGAAACAGAAAAGATGATGAAATCTAAATGAACACATTGAACTTTTAGTTGTTGTTTTGGTTCTGTTTTGCTTTTGTTGAGGCAAAAAGTCATTTTACTTTGCTCCTGGGCCGCAAGTTATTTTTTCCCTACTACCCACCTTGAGGAGGGCGTTGAGGAATATCTCTCTGAGCGGCTGGGACACAGCAAGGTGGCAGTCGCTGGAGCTGATCTTGAAGGTGGTCTCCAAGCACTGGATTGCAACTGAAGTATATGGCACAGAATACAATTAAAGGTCACAACTTGAGAGGGGTAACTATTCAAATTAGGCTTAACGACAGTCAGGGAAGGGAAATCTGAAGGAATTATTCCCTAGAATGAACAAAGCACCCATCACCTTTGCATACCAAGTTTAATTTTTGTGTCTTTGCCCAACAAAAAGTAATATTCCTAGAATATTTTCTAATTTTTCCCATCACATCCAGAATTCTTTTCTGTTTTCTTTGTTGTTGCTTTTTCACAGGACAGTGACATGATGATGGAACATTGTTTTAATATAAATGCATTGTTCTAAAAAAAAATTTATTTGGTCCCCTAATATAAAACCCTGTGCAACTGCAACCAATTGCCTGAAAATGCAAAAAAAAAACACGGCATCATTCTCACAAGCAAACACGGTAGTGGCAGAATCAAGCCTGCTGATTTTTTTTTTTGCAGCTGAGTATGAAGCTGGTGATGGGTGAAATGTAGACTTTTTGGTTAAATCAATCAAGAATCTGGTAAAAAAAAAAAAAAAAAAAACTACAGAGACTCTTAAGTTAATACAAAGCATCTAGGAAAATGTTTTCTTTTCTTGTTTTGTTGGTTTTTTTTTTTTAAGTTTTTCCCAAAACACTTGCTCCTGTAAATGCAGGCAAATGTGGTACTGAACTATTCAAGATATTCAGAAGAAAAAGCTACAAAAGGCCACTTTATATGTATGATTTTCACTAATAGTAATCCCTTGAAGTTGATGGTTTTAATGTAACAAAACAACAGACTATAGTCTAAGATGAACCGAACAGATTCGGTGAAGCGACTTACCCTCAAGGCTCTCCTGCTCGTCTGAATTCAAAGCACTGACGTGAGTTTGATCTCGTAAAAACTGCACAATAGCGAACGCAAGACGCTTCTCCACTGCCATTTTGATCTAGAAACTTGAGCAAGAGATGTGGGATTAAAAATGAGGGCATTAGAATACCATCAAAAAATGGGAAATACATACGCTTAAGATCAGTTTTCAAACATGATGAGGTCATGTAAATATATTCTTGTGCCGATGGAGATATTTGTGATCAAACTACATTAAAAAAGGCTCCTCATTATTCCAAATTACTTACAAACATGTAATGTGGACAGTTGATGGGCTATACTGACATTTTTATTCACTGAGGGAAAAGAAACACTCATAGAAACAGAACTGGAACATATGTATTGAATGTAAACACTCCAGCTGTCCACCATAATCATTAATATTACTAGAATTAAGACTCGAAATGAAATAAAAGTTGTTTTCACATGGAAACTCCATGTGAAACAAGTTGGCCTGAGTTTCAGAAATGTGGGAACGACAAAATATAGAACTTATTCCACAATATTCCCATTTACTAGAGCATGTTAGGATAATTATCATTGAAGATGTGTGAATTTAATACACCTTGGTATTGGCTGCCAGTTGCGAGTAAGAACTGATGTTTTAATCTAATTAGGACACTTCCTCTGTCTGGATATACAGTTATAATCTATAAGACAGAAAATGAAGTATAATATTTTGATAAGGCTGGAGCCATGGATGTCTACTCATCTGCTAACGTGTAAAATGTAAAATATGATGATGTGGCAGACTGGAGATGTATAAAATGCCTCTTTAACTGTTAATCTGAGAGGTGAACCTGGAGGTGAGCAGCTGGCTTCTGCACATCCTAAGCAATTTCTCTGATCTATCAGAATCTGTTGTCATGTCTCCTGGTTATTTAACACATATAAGTTAAAAAGTGTTATTTAAAGAGTTTGTCCTGAGTGATCTCTTTTCAGGGAAAATAACCGGAGAAATACAGCTTCAAGGTGCATACACAGAGCCTATCTTTAACAAATGGTGTTTCAAGCTACTGAAATCAGAAACACACACAAAAAACACGTATGTGTTCCATCCTATGATGAGGAGGCACCAACATACAGAGGGCTGCTGACTCCCTACTATTGTTCATCATTAGCAATCTAATAAGCAAAGATATCAGATCCTTTGTCCAAGACAGCTTATTGCATAATTCAGAGATATTTATTCTTGGATGTTGGCTGCAGATGTCTGAACTGATCATTGGTGCTGAAGCTGCATCACAGAGACCCAGGACTGGTCAGTGTTGGGCTGCAGGCTGCAAGCAGTGGACATAGAAAAAAATAATAGCTTCATTTCTCCATCACGTGCTGATGCCAGGCGCTGATCTGTTCATTCTGCTCTGGCTGCCACAGCCACTCCTCCTTCACTGTGTGTTGACACACGTAAGCTACATGTAGTGATGCTGTGATGCAAGCCCCTCTATAGGGGGAGCAGAGCTGTTTTGATTCATCATGCACACTTTATGCTTATAAAAACCACACATTTAACAGCTTGGTCAGACTGTGACGCGCAGGCGGGCGTTGGCTGCTTTAAAAATCCTAATCTGACAACAATGCCCTGCAGCCTGAGTGATGCTGCGCACTAGATCTCTGATAAAGACAGAAAACATCCCAGCCAAACAACAGCTATTGAAACAGTTTAGTCATTAAACGTTAAAGGGTAATAATAGTTGCCCCCCCTCCTCCTCCTCTCGCCTACTTACCTGAGCTCCTCAGCTGTCTGCGTCATGAGGACAGAAAGAGCGTCTGTCCTCTGCGCGCATGCGCTCTCTGGCGGAGGAAATGAGAGGCTCCACTCAGTGCGAGGAGGGGAGCGACAGGAGAGCAACTACTGGGACTGCTGGGATTGTAGTTGTGACAGTAAGACTGGAAAAAGCTGTTTTCTGCTCTGATCAGGACGCATGAGAATCCAGCATGTGTGCGTTAAGGGTCTCTTTGTGCGTAAAGCTTTGGAGGTATGAGTCTGGGTATTCATTCACATAACAGGATGGTGTTTGGTCACATGTGGCCGGTAAAAATGAGGAAAAAAAAGAAGTTAAGTCTGCTTATGAACTTTTAGCTGCTATTAGAGAAAGAAAATTCAGAGTTATTTAACTCTTTTAATATCAGAGGATCCCAGTGTTGTGCCATGAAACTTTACACTGACAGCTGGACATGGGAAAGATTTCCTAACTAGCATGAAAAGAATGCAGAGCAGTCTGACACTGGAATCACTGCTGGGGGGGAGTCAGCAAATACTCCAGTGAAACCTCATGCACCATCTTGTATAAAAGAACACATTCCTTTATGTTCTTCTTGCTTTTAATTTGCAGTGAAATATTAAAAACAAAAAAAGAAAGGAAGTAAAAAGCTCTTTTGTCAAATTTCATTCTGCTTTCTGTGAATTTAGGAAGTTTTTCTCCTGGATCCCCTTGAATTTAAAGTTTTCCCCCTTTTTCCACATGTCAGACTGCAAGTTATTTGTTCACCCTTTACTGAAAGGCAAGATATGCAGCTGTGATGACTAATGATTTTTATTATTATCTGAATGCACAGCTAATGAATTCCACTACCTGAGTTGTGGATCTCTGCAGCTCATCCAGAGTCCCCCTGGACCTGCTTTAACCCCATTAGTTCCATGATCCTTTTAGGTTTGCAAGCTTGAGGTTCTGTTTTCAGTGGTGGTTTAGAAGCAAATTTACCGGGGGTCTGAATTGTGTAATGATGCATTCACACCCTGATTTTCATTTCTGGAGCCATTTGCAGCCGTGCAGATAAAGCAATGATCCTATTTTAATATGACTGAAGCTAAAAGTGCAACACCCTAATTCATTTTTAAAATAAAACTGTAAAGTAAAAGTGTCCAAATGACCAATCAGTTACAGTTGCTGTTTTTTTTCTCACACAATGTTTACATTTTATCACTGCTGCAGTTTAAGTAATGGGAATGTTTTGACAGCTGTACAAAATGAAATTTTGTTTTGTATACTCTCTGTGTATACAAAATGACAATAAAGTTTGTCAAATCTAAATGCATATATCATTAGAAACTTATTTACTATTATGTATTCAGTAAAGGGGCCATAACTGGTTCTAGAGGGGCCCTGGCCCCTTTTGGTCCCTGCCTAGAACCTTCCATTGTGTTGTTCGAACTAACCTTGCTTTAAACAAACCTTAAAATGTTCCCCTCGCCCATCTACATGTTCCATTGTCTTTATTGTTTTTTTCACTTGTAAAATTATCTGAGGAAAAAAAAGAACTAGGCTAATATCCGGTTGATTGTTGCCACAATTTAACATCAGAACACCCCTGGATTATTCCCAAAAATCTGGGTTCCATCATTCTGCTCCAAAATGGCAAAGATTTTATACAATGAAGTATTTAAGAGCTGACTGCTGTATAATTAAACAAACATTACGAAAGGCTTGATTAAATCCTGATGCTTTAATCAAAAGAAGTTATAAAGAAGACAATTATTTCAACCCACTGGCTTTGTTTACGTTCCATGTCAGGTTTCTTAGTTTTTGATTCTGACTGTAATCCTTCAAAGATACTTCAACAGACCTGGTCCAGCCTCCACATTGAAAACAGACCATAGTAAGGAGTCTGCAGTAAAATCAGACTAAGATATTTCTAAAATATAATCAGCCACTGGATCTGCCCATAAAAAGTGGGTCAAGCATTCTGGCTTGTAGCATGCTCCCAGTTTACCTCACCAACTTGTCATGACTATAGTGAAGAATCACTTGGGACACCATATCATGTTCCTTCCACTTCTGTGTCAACCACTGCACTTTATTTTTGTACGGCCGTACTCCGGTAGCACATTGGCTTTGGTGTTGAACGACTTCAACTTGCTGTTATATCCCATTTTGATCGTCTTCCTTTCACAGCTGGAAGGGACAATCATGATTTTTTTTTACAGACATGTCTGATGCAATTTGAATCCCTGGTTTTACTTTTATGGTGCCAGACAAAACCAGATACACAGACGTTACTTTAATTGTATAATTGCTTAATTTAGTGGTTCTCCAAATAGGGAAATGCTTTGAGGAGTTGCTGGTTAATTGCAGGTGTGGTGGGGTTGAAACTGAGCAAATCACACATTTTGAGAGGCTTTTTTTTAAATGCAATGACAATAATGTTGAATTCTTTTACACAGTAAAATAAATTGTTGAACTTAATAAAACAAACACTTTAAATGTGTTAGTTTTGTTATTTAAAGGAAGATGTATTTATTTTATTGGAATGCTCATTTTACTGCAGTAGACTTTTTATTGTATATTGGTTGAAAAGTTTGGTGAGGGGGAACAAAAACTGTCCTGTAAACCAAAGTGCAGCTCAGCAAGACAAGCTTGCAATGCTGTGTAAGTTCTGGCCACTAGGGGCGCTAGTCCTGTAACTTCCAGGTTTAGAAACTGCCAGCCCTGCACTGTAGCAAATATAAGCAGTCTTCTTCAGTGTTTTGGAATCTGACAGCAGACCACTTTAGACCAGCACATTAACAAACCAGAGAGTTTAAAAATATACAAAAAAAAATTTCTTACAAAACCAGATTAAAATTTTTTATTTCTCCCTTTAGCTTCATAATAAAAACATTACCTTCAAAAATCAGCTTTTATTTCAGTGAACTCCTTTGGGTGGATACCTCAGTCTAAGGTGCAACAAAGCTCCTTATAAAACAGTGTTTCACAACAAACAATGAAAATATAAGAAACTACATTTTTGCAGTTAGTGTCACTCAGTTAGCTAGTCTGTCAGTTAGAAGTACGCATCTGAAAAAGACAAGGTGATGAACTGACGTCAACCTGAGGTATGGGAGCCCAACAATTGGATTGGTTGGAGAAAAAAATAATAGATTTCTACAAAAATTAGATTTTCATAAATGGAAAATTTGATGGATTTAGTTTTTTGGTTAAGTGCACATTCGTAAGAGTTTCTTGTAAAGACGAGGCCACATTCACCCTTTTAGATTAATTCCCATATCAAAAAAAGCCAACATATATTATATCAGATGAAGGCTGTGTCTTTTTTTGCCTAACAGAAACTTTTAAGGGTAATGGTGTGTTTCGTTTATCCTCAGAAGTCAAATTTTCCAATTTCTTAAAGGTATAGTGCAGGATTTTAGTGAATTTTTTAAAAGACCTGCCCTCTCCACTTAAAAAAAAAAAATGCACATGCACAACCCTGTACCCACTCTCGAAAGAAAACATCTATTAAACATGTGTGAGATCATGCACAAGCCCATTTCATCTCTTTGCATGCTATGTTTAAAAGTTGCTGTTTGCATCGCTCATACAAGCTTACTTTACAAAAGAAGATTTGCAATTTTTTCAAGATGTCAGACTCACCACCGATAAGCGAAAATGGGGACGAGCATGTAGGACGGCCTTAGGTAAACATATCACCAAAATGATTGACATTTAGGAGGACCACTTATTTTGATGATCCACCCTAAAAAAGAACATCCTCCACTATAACTTAAATTGTTAATTTTAACTGACATGCCCTTGAAAGTTGGAACAGCGTGTCTGAAATTCAATGCAGCAGGATGGTACCAGACTTCCACATTAACAGTAGTTAAACTCTGCCATTTTGACAGGTTGTAGTGGTTCTTTATTAAGTATATAGCATCAAATCTGTCAGTTAGGGGAAACTGTGTATGTGCATCAAAGCATGTAGAAGTTTATGTGTTTATCTCTAGTATGTTTCCATACATTTCTGCACATAGAAATTAAACTGAAACTATTTTTTTGTTGAGGTTCTCCAAACATCAGCTAAGAATGAAGATTCCCCAGGCGTCTGTGACATCGACCAGAGACTGCTCCCAAGCTGGAAATGACAGGAATCCACTAAGATGGGATCTTTCCCCAGATGAGATCAGGACCATGACAGACAGCTTGATAGCCAGAGTAAAGAAGGTCTACGATGTTGTTGGATCTCTGCCCATTGAAAGCGTATCAGCTGGAAACACACTGGAAGCCTTGGCTAATGCTAAGCTGGATTATGCATGTGAGTGCAGTACATGAAGGTGAATTGAATTTGCTCAGATAGTCTTTTAAAGAACTAAATTTGCATTAATCTTGTCTGCTTTTCCCCTGTAATCACTAGCTGTCAAGTGGAAAAAGAGCTTTTGTGATGCTGTCTATAGAGTGAAAAACATCCCAGCCTCTGCTGGACCCATTTGATTTAAGAGTCAAAGCAGCAGCCAGGTGGAGCTAATCAAATGCACCTGATTAATTCATTCAACAGCAAGACTGAACACCTATAAAAGCTGAAGTTTTGGCATTTTGCTGATCTTAAGTCTACTGTGCTACATTAACACAATGCCAAGCAGAAAAAGTATCAACAATGAAGCGGTAAATGTTTTCCATTAGTCTGGGAGGGAATACAACACTCGTTCCAAATAAGTTAAGCAAAGTGGGAGTGACAAACATTTAAGACAAATGCTATTCTGCCATGAGCATTATAACAAATTGACCTCATAGTCAAACTTTTCAGTGTTTAGACCATAAGCCCCAACCTCAGATTCTAAAGTCTTAAAGTAAGCTTGTTACGTGTGGAAAATATGAAATATTAGTCAGAAAAAAGGTTTGAAATGATTGACTGGATAACCTATGCTCTCTTTAATATTAAGCAAAAATTTGGGTAAAAAAAAAGTTGATCTAAGTCCACGAAAATCTTTTCGGAACAATGTTTTGAGACAATTTAGACCAAAGTTGGAATTATCAGTCGTATTCTAAAGGAAAAATGGCTTATTAACAAAAATATGTAATTCCAGCTGTGACATGTGGAGGAGAAGGTATAATTTGGGCTTTTTTGAGCTTTTTTTTTTTTCTTCTGTTGTTCCAGAACCTGGACCAATTTGGTTTGTCAGCCTCAGTATTGCAGGCAGATGTTAGCTGTCCACCAGTTAGACATCTAAGGCTTTGCCCATACCGGGTTATCCAAAGGACAGTGATGCCTAACAAAACAACTTAAGAAAAACAATGAAAAGAATCAAGAGAGTTAAAAATCTAATTTTTTTTAAATAATCTTATGATCACAGACTTCTTTAGGTGGTTCTAATAGAAACAGAAGCTTTCCCTTGACTCTAGTCAGACAATGTGTCAATTAAATTTCAGTTTTTGCTCACAAATATATATATATATATATATATAAAAAATAAAAATCCGCAACCTACAGTTACACAGCTGGAGTCAGCATAAATTTATTGATTTATTATTAATCTTTTGCTTTTCATTTTTTAGAACATTTGGCAAGTGATAAACAGACCAAAGACCACAAACACTAATCCATCATTTTCAGTGGACTTTTCTTATTTTTTTAAAAACAATGTGCTTAGTTTGTATGTTTTTGAGGTTTGTGTTTTATTCTCTCCCCTAGCATCGCGCCACGTTCTCGACTTCCCCCAGTTCGTTTGTCCCAATAAGGAGGTTCGGTCGGCGAGCACAGAGGCAGACAAGAAACTGTCCGAGTTTGACGTAGAGATCAGCATGAGAGAAGACGTGTTTGAACGTTTGATAGCCTTGCAGGTTTACTTCCTGTCAATATTTGACCTGAAAATACTACAACCACATCTAAGAGGTTTCTCACCAACCGATTAATCAACAAATCAGATGTTTGTGTGATATGTTTTTGCAGAAAAAGTTTGAAGACACTCCTGCATCTGAAGAAAAGAGATTGTTAGACAGATTGGTTAGATTAGGCCAGAGGAAAGGACTGCACCTATCTAAAGAGATTCAGCAGGTAAACTCCTGTCTAACACAGACATTCATCAGCAACGTTGATGAGAAAAGACATTTTCTCAGTCTGTTCATCTTTCCATAAAGATTTAAGAATTTGATCATCTATGGGAATCCTATTTTATTATTATTAAAGGCAAATATGTTGCAATGCAAACCAGAAATAACACTTTGGAAAAAAGAAAATTTTTAAGAGTAACTTTGCTGGTTATTTTATTTTTTCCCAATATGTTTTTTCATTTTTTTTTTATCACATTAAGTTTTACAGATTACATTCATTTCAGTTTATCTTCCTTTTATGGTATGCTCATGAATATTAAGATGAGCCATGCCAAATGCAAAAGCTCACTTTTGCATTGGGCTTAAAGGGAAGTACGTAGATGTGATCTTAAAACCCGATTTTGAAAATCTAAAGATTTTAAAAAGATATTTAAAAAATAAAGTTTGAAAAAAAATATATATTAACAGTTAAGGTACTGTCAAAACCTTTATTTTTTTATTAATAAGTTTGTGAAAGTTTCATTTCTGCATTGCATTTTTTTATTTTTTATTTTTATAAAACCTGTTTTTTCTGCAACATTAATGGGAAAAAATATTTATTTCGTAAAATAGTTGGAGATCTAAAATCTTTTCAGGAAATCATTTGGTTTTATTTCGAGGCTGCATGGCATAAGAACAATTCATCTTCTCTTGTATTCAGCATCCAGCAGTTCTCATTAAGGCAAAGCATTTTATACGTATAGCACAATTTAATACAATTCAAAGTACTTTGCATGGATTAGATAATAAAATGGAAGAAACATAAAAGCAGAATAAAAGCAAAAATTTGTAAAACAAGTAAATTAATTGGACCACAAAAGAGCAGAACAAAGCAAGTAAAAAAAAAAAACATGATAAAGAAATTAAAACAGTTGGATAACAACCTTAAACTAATACCCCAGTTAGCAGTTTAACTTCAACAGGGCAGTTCTAAACAAATGGGTTTTTAACTCTGACTTAAAAGCACTTCAGCACTGTAAAAGTGCTGCTCATTTATTTAAAATAAATTATCTTTTTGAGGTTCGATTGTGGATCTTAATTTGTTGTTGTTTTTTTTTTAAATCTCATCAGTTTTTTTTTAAATTTTTGACTTTAAAGTTTTTTTATATTCTGTTTGGTTTGGTGAATGCTATTATATCTGCTGATGATTCTTTATAAGGCAGTGACTACGTTTATTAAACCTCTATGTTGTCTTGCCGTTTCCCCCTTCGTTTATCCCAAGGAAGTAAAAGAAACCTCCAAACTGATCAGTGAGCTCTCCATAGAGTTTAACAGGAATCTGAATGAGGACAACACCTTCCTCGTTTTTTCTGAGCATGAATTAGGTAAGCGTGTTTGCAGGACTTGCTGTCTGATGCAGAGATGCTCAAAATGTTCACTCTCTTCTTATTCATCTCATGAAGGAGGACTTGCTGATAGCTATTTAAATGGTCTAGAGAGGACAGCAGAGGGGAAGTATAAAGTGACGCTGGAGTATCCGCATTACTACCCCCTGATGAAAAGGTGTCATAATCCTGAGACCCGGAGGAAGATGGAAACAGCATTTCACAGCAGGTGCAAACAGGTGAGCTCTGCTACTTATGACCATGGTGCTGTAAGCGTGATGCTGGATGGAGAGGTCATGAGTGTTTTTAAAGTTGCCTGCCACAGAAATAGGTATAATCCTCTTCTTTTTTTTAAAATATAGTATAGTATAGTTTCCCCTTATTCAGGATTTTTTTTAAATATATTTTTTTTTCAGGCAAACACATTGATCCTTGAGCAGCTAATCCAACTGAGGGCAAAGGTGGCAGACTTACTGGGTTACAGCAGCCACGCAAACTATGTGCTGGAGATTAACATGGCTAAAAATGCAAGAAACGTGTCGGACTTTATAGGTACTCTGACACCACATCACACCAGCAGACATTCCCCTCTCCTACGGCCATAAAATTAAATTCAAACAAGATCCTGGATACAAGGCTAGGCAGGCAAGCACTCACAGGGGTCATAGTACGCAAAATAGAGTTTACACAGTCATAGATAAATAACGATAGTTCAGTGTACAGAGAAGTTCAAACTCCATCAACACCTCCTTTCTCTGCAAATCTCACAATTCTAAACTTCCACCATAAAATGGGCGAAATGAAACGAACCACCAAATTGATGTAAAGTCTGGGATTTTGCCTTATTTGGTTCTGACCTGTACTTTTGTCACGCCCCCAAATTGACATACAGATCAGCCCACTGGTCTATGGCCCAAGAACATGAATTGAGGTAGATGTAAGACACCAGTTAACTGTTTAGCCTACAATTGGGTTTACTTTTACAAGAATTACAAAGCAGGCAGTTTCTCTATTGAAAATGAGCCAGAACCACGGGCGTAAATGCAGTGTTCCAGGCTGCATGGAGAATGGGGAACATTTTCACAGTCTTCCCAAGGATCCGAACACGACAGGCATGGATTATTTTTTTCTATCAGAAGATCCCTGCAAAGTTTGATGCTCAGCTGTTCATGCTCTAAACATTTTACTGAAGACAGCTTTCAAAATCTTGGAGGAGGGGGGCATCTGACTGGACAGGTCATTCAAACCAAAAGATCAGCTCCAGGGCTGGTCCAGAACCCTGGGGAAAGGAGCGACCGAACCCAACCTGGTGACGGTATGCTTTCCCCCGCCTGCCCGGTAAGGCAGGTGTTGGGGTAGTACGGGGCCGCCGTTGTCCAGCCTACCGTCACCGGGTCGGGTTCGGTCGCTCTGTCACCCGCTGGTGTCCATCAGGGTTCCCGGACCAGCCCCGGAGCTCATGGCTTGGTTCTGATGCACTATAGCCGACCAAAATCTAGAATGATTTAGGTATGAAAAGTAGGACATGTCCGGTAAAAAGAGGACGTCTGGTCACCCTACCATATCAACAATTTCGATGTTTCAGTGAGTGAGTGCTTGTTGCTATGATGCATTGTTGCTCAGCAGCTTTGCTCGTTGTAAACCAACCAATCAGCGCACAGCTCATCTAAATATTCATGAGCATACCATAAAAAGAAGAAAACCTGTTGTTTCATTGTAGGGCTTAACAAGGCTTGCATTAGGACTTATAGAACAGCAAATATGCCAGTTTCAGCCCAACCAATGTTACAGACCCTATTCAGAGACCTTAAGAACCAGCACCAAATACCCTATAGAATAATTCTATGATCCCTTTAAGCCTCTTTCCCACTTAAACTGGCAGGTTAATACAGGTTTTTAAACAGGTGTCCTCTGTCCCCACTCTGCTGCATGTCTAGCGACGCCATCATGCCGGGTTAGCATTAATATTGTCATTATGTAATGTAATGTAAATCCCTTTATTGTCTCACAATGGGCAAATTCACTCTCTGCATTTAACCCATCTCTTTGGGGAGCAGTGGGCTGCCATTGTGCGGTGCCCGGGGAGCAGTGTGGGGTTAAAGGTTGTGCTTCATTGTTTTGTTCTTTTGCCCCACTGAATCTATCTCACCAGTGCTGCGCTATTTTTATCGAATGTAGCAGGGTGTTTCGGGTCAACTCTGGTCTGATGTTCCCACTGTATACCGATCGGAGCCGAGCCGTTTGAAAGACATTGTAACCTGGGTTGCTTGCCGAGTCGTTTCACCCAAGTTGACACGGGTCAAAGAGCTGTTCCCACTGTCACTAAAAGCCGATGGCTGCTCGGAGTAGAGCTGCTGCTCCTCCACATCAGGAAGAATAAGCTGAAGGGACTCAGGCGTCCAGATTATACCACTGACACCCTTTCTCCTCAGGTGTTCCAGCCTGTCCCAATGGAAACAGGGACTGTTACTCTCGCATGACCTTTAAACACCTCAGGCTTCCCCCAGAACAGCTAGAGAAGATCACTGAATGGCTTTGCTCAGACTTTTATTAAACAACCTGCATTGAAACTTAAATAAAATGACGCATGGCCAACCCCCTTCCTTCCAGAAATGGATACATAAACTGAAGCAAGATAGAATTAAATATGGAATATTAATAGAAAGCTTTTAATTATTGGAAAGGTAATTATATATAAAAGAAAAAACTATGAATGTCGTCTGAAACCTAGGTAAATGCTGATATATTGTTCATCGTTAAGGATAAATGTTGTGCATAGAACTGTATTAGATCTATTTTATATATCTTTTTATATCCATAGCTGTATGATGGTTATTCTCTAGGTGGACAGTTTTATATTGTTAAAACACTTTACACTACAATATTGTATTATTTTTATTAAATGCTTCACTTTTATGTTATTCTTATACATTTTTTGTAAAGTCCACATTTGTGTGAACATTTTTTCTATAATGTTTTGCTGCTGTAAACATCAGAATTTCCCCATTGTGGGACAATAAAGGGATTTTGTTTTCTATTCTATATACAACTATATACATGGGGATAAGGTCAGGCCTGTGTTTTAAAATAACAAATGTGATTTAAAAAGATCCGAATTAGATTTAAAACGCACTCATATTGTTGTAATGGGGGTTTGGAGATTACCAGTGTATGAACCAATAACATTAGGAGGCCTCAGTGACTACAGTTACTACACAGTCGACCTTTAGAGCTCCAGCATCTGGGGAGTGAGACTGCACCAAACAGCGTCTCTAGAGAGAAAGGCTTAATGACTGGGGAGAAACTGGTCTCCATGGCTGTTAGACATTAATAAAAAAAAAAAGAAAAAAATACAGGGATGTTTATTTTAATTGGATCTTTTAAAAAGGTTCACAACTCAGCAAAATATATATACATATATTTTTTTAGTTAAACTAAATGGATACTTTTGCTGATTGATGTGTATTTCTAATAAAATTGTTCGAAATAGGTTGACAAATAAAAACTTGTTTATCATTCGTTGCAGAAATAACAAGTGCATGAAATGAACCTCAATGACTTTTTTGCATCCATGGCGCCCCCTATAGTTGGAATTGTTCTCTCCAAGAGAATTTTTTAAAACCTTTTCTGGATTTAAGGACAATTTTTATTTATTACAAAATCATAACCCAATTTAGATTCCTCAAATGTAAAAGTTTTATCTTGGCATTAACATGATTGGCCTTGTCGAACTAATAAGATATTTAAAAAATAAAGTATTTATTTTTTATTTTTTTGCATGCAATCTGTTGTTGTTGTCATTTTATGTATGGATTATGAGAGACAATCATTTGGATAATTTCTTTTTCATGGGAAAAATAAGCTAAACTAGTTTTCAGCTCATTTTGCAAAGGTTAAGATTTAACTAATTTGAACTTATATATTCCTTCGTATTCTGAGCTTAAAAGTAACATTCCCCAAATTATATAGTTTGTATTTGTTCAAATATATTATTTTTTTTTAGTTCATAAAGTTAAAAATGAATTATTTAGTGGTAGTGGGGCAAAAATTAGCAGGGCACAGAAATTATTTAGATAATAACAGCAGAATTAGAGCTTGGAATCCTTAGGGTTTTTCACCAATCTTTTTCAGATGCATTCTATGAGAGATTAAAGCCCATCGGAGACAAAGAAAGAAAGTACATCCTTGCATTGAAGAAGAGGGAGTGCTTGATGAAGGGCTACCAGTTTGATGGGCGGATCAATGCCTGGGATTTGCCCTACTACATGAACCAAGTGGAGCAGTGCAAGTTTGCTGTAAACAAGGACAAACTGATTGAGTATTTCCCCCTGGAGGTGGTGACAGAAGGGATGTTTAGTATCTACCAGGAGCTGCTGGGCCTCACCTTCCAAGAGGTTGAGTGTGCTCAAGTCTGGCACGAAGATGTTAAGCTTTACTCAGCCCGTGACGCTGAGACGGAGGCAGAAATCGGACAATTCTACCTGGACCTGCATCCAAGGTGAACTGCAGCTTTATGAGCTTTCTTTTTTATTTTCTCACTAGTTGTAAAACCTGACTGTTTTTCTTCAGGGAAGGGAAATATGGCCACGCTGCTTGCTTTGGCCTCCTGCCAGGCTGCAGAGGGCCTGATGGAAAACGCAGACTTCCAGTGGCCGCTATGGTGGCCAACTTTACAAAGCCCAGAAAAGGCTGGCCCTCTCTCCTCCAGCACCATGAGGTGGAGACGTATTTCCATGAGTTTGGTCATGTGATGCATGAGCTCTGCTCTAAGGTGCAAATTCCCTCAACAGGCAGTTTTAAACTAGCTGCCATGCATGGTTTGGTTTATTATATTTTTTGTTCTTATTCTGGCAACTGAGGATAAACTCCTCCTGTGTTTGTGCGGCTCAGACCACTTTCTCAGAGTTTAGTGGTACTCTGGTGGAAACAGACTTTGTGGAAGTGCCGTCCCAGATGCTGGAGAACTGGGTTTGGGAAAAGGAGCCTCTGCGAAGGATGTCCGGTCACTACAAGGATGGGACGCCAGTCCCGGAGGATTTGCTGGACAAACTGATTGCATCCAGAGTGGCAAACACAGGTCAGACGCTCCGAATTCTCCAAGATCTGAAACTCTCTGCTACATTTAAGCTCAAAGCCTTCATAATTGTGCTGCTGTTCTCTTTAGGTCTGATGAACCTGCGGCAGGTCGTCCTCAGTAAAGTGGACCAGGTTCTTCACTCCTGTCCAAGTGCAGATACTGCTGAGGTGTTTGCACAGCACTGCCAGGACATCCTTGGTGTTCCTGCCACACCTGGTCAGTTGCATTAACGACTGCTAGATTTTTAATGTTAGAGACCACTGATACCTTTAAATCTATGTCTATTTTAAATCTATATCTATTTTACAGTAAAGTTTTACAGTAGATTATATAATCAATTGTGCAAACAAAACAGGAAATCAAATTGTAGTTATGATAATGTGTCAGAGACTTTTTATCGAGTTCTCTAAAGTTATTTAATAATTTCAAGAAAGACTAGTTAGACATCTATGGACTGTCTGTGTGGCTCATCTTGATCTTGCAAGGCAACAGCGTTAACAAACATGCAAGCAGAAAGCAGAAAATGGCTGCATGCTCAGAGTACAATGCTGTTCTATGTATATAAATATATATAACAGATCTGCGCATATTTATGTAGGTCTTGCATATATATTGTTTGAAATGTTTTGAAATAGTCCAAGTAGGAATCATTTTAATGGCAATCAAGATAGGTTAATTGTTTTGATTGGGATTAACCAAATTTTTATTTGATTTTTTTACTGTCAAACTATGCTCCAACAGATCTGCTGTATGTTGGTTTTAACGTCACAGCCACTAAGCATATAGACTGGAGTAAGTTTGAAGACGTTTTACCTCCCATCCAGGAAGCTTTTTCAATTCAAAATGTCAGGAATAGCATGGAGTTCAAGGTTTAATACAGTAGCCCATCACAACTGTAGTGACTAGTTGTCTATGAAAAAACTTAAAAATGAAAAAGCAAAAAATAAATGTAAATCAAATAGTCACTTGAGGAATAGTGGGTTTCTGGTTTTACGCAGTACAAAAAATTCTCAAAATACGTGAAAAATGCAGTTCGGTGAGTTTATTCTAGGTTTTTTCAGGAAAAATAAACATGATACAAACTCAAAAAGACTACTTGCCACATCTCCTGGCCTGGTTTCTGCCTTTGTGCTCACTTCACCTGATTAAGACTGAGTGACTTGCCTTCTGAAAGGCCTGGTAGACTGCAGCTAGAAGACTGGTAAAAAACCATAAGCCCACCCACTTTTCACCTGAGCTACCTGGAGTCCATGTATTTATACACCAGACACCCAAACAAAATCAATTAACTAATTAAACAATTTACTAAGAAATAATTGTATTCTAAGCAACTACTTTCAAACAAAAATGCAACAAATAACCAAATAAATACAAACTAACTAAATAATCTAAGTTCTAAAACAAAAATAGAGAAATAGCTCCTACAACAACCTTATTTTTGTTTTGAAAACATACAAATTAAAATGGACGAGGGGTCCGCCCTTTTGGAATGGGAGTCGTTTGGCTTCTTTTGCCTCAAAAGAATGTCCTTTGTCCATAAAGTGTAGATGTACCGCAGAATTACAGATGTGTAGAAGTACATCTATACCTTATGGACAAAGGACATTTTTTTGAGGACCAGAATGTTCACATTTTGGACAAAGAATCTATGTTAAGAAAGAAAAGCCAACCTTAAACAGAAGGGGTAGGCTCAGATTTCAGCTTTCAAAAAACTACAATGCAGCCATTGAGTTGATCCCTTCTCGCTATCATCGCATCCCCAGCCCCTGTAGAGGAGAGCGGAAGACCTCACCTATTTAGCCAGGTCAACAATTCCCTTTAATGACCCCCCTTTCAGAGACTTAGACGGGTATGGGGCATTGCAGGCAAGCAAAATAAGCCAAAGGACCCCCATTCCAAAGGGGTGGACCCCTTCATCCGTTTCAATTTGCATGTTTTCAAAACATAAACAAGGTTTTGTTGGGTTACTGCATACAACCTCGAACTGAACGCTATTCCTGACATTTTTAATTGAAAAAGCTTCTTGGATGGGAAGCGAATCATCTTCAAATCTTGGAAACAAAGTCCAATGGACTGTTTTGAACTATTTCTGAAAAATATAGTGACCTAATATGGGCTTTTAAGAGTATATATTAATAACGAATTAAAAAACTTGAAAGTAAGTTGTTTTTTTAACCTTAACCCTTAACAAATGTCTCCATTTGGCCCCTTTCTTATCATCTCTGATGTAGTTATATTATTTTTAACAAATAGTAACACCTGGAGGAAAACTTTCAAAATAAATTCCTGCTTCTTCTAAAGCATCATCAGGTCTTAAAAATGGCTGGTTCAACTATATAAATAAAACTTTAGTTTTCATAATTTCATTTAGAAAGAAATATAACTTTACCCTTATTTATTTATTTTTTAAGCTTACCCCTTATTTATCTATTTATTTATTTTTTAAGCTTACCCCTTATTTATCTATTTATTTATTTTTTAAGCTACTTTGTACACTTTAAAGAGAAAATGCCTCTACTGTAGAGATTGACTGATAGAGGGGTTTTTAAGGCCGATGCTGATACTGATTATTCAGACGGTAGTCTAACCTATCGCAGATATGTGCTACCGATACTTTTGGGTAAATTCATGAAGCCCCTAATTTTTTTTTTCTTCTTTACATGATGAAAATTACACATTGATTAAAATAAAAGCTACACACGTCTCAATATAAATAAAAAATGAAAATAAACAAATGAAACAACAATGGATAGCAAATGGAAGGAATACATGCACCTTACATGATCTTAAGCATGGCTGCTGAATGCACTAATAAATGGGTGAAAATGATGCCGAAAAAAATGTTCAGTGTATGGGTCTATCTCTATTTTATGACGACATAAATTTTCTGGCCCTTGAGAGCTGGATAATTTGCCATGAGGGGCCAGATTAAGCCCATAACATCATCAGCGACCCCTCACCCCCCCACCATGGACTGTTCTCCTTGCTGCCCTCTGGGAAGAGGCTAGGCATCATCTAATGCAGGACCAGCAGGTTCTGCAACAGCTTTTTCCCTGCTGCCATAATGCTGTTGAACTGTTAAAAACTAATCAAGCCTGATTTGAGACTCTGGATCACACTGTAAACATCATACTTGCACTACATGGCGAATCTTTAAAATAGAACTCAACTCGGTGTTTCTACTGCATTTTGCACCATATTTATGTATTTATTTTTGCATTGCTCTGAACCTTCCACATCAATGCCTTTTGCACCATGTCTCTCCTACAGTGTTTATATTGTGATCACTGATGCACACTATAAATGGAAAAACATTGTATACACTCTGTGTATACAAAATGAGAATAAAATTTGTCTAAAGAGTTTGACTCGTGTTCTAAAGGATCTCCTTTAATCATGCCTTTTTGTGTGTGCTTTTTTTTCCAGGCACCAACATGACAGCCAGTTTCAGCCACTTGGCAGGAGGATACGATGGTCAGTACTACAGCTATCTGTGGAGTGAAGTCTACTCTATGGACATTTTTTTTAGTCGTTTTAAAAAGGAAGGCATTATGAACCCAAAGGTTGGTTGGTTATATTCCCTCTTTCCCTTTTGATTTGAACTTAATCTAGGATTGTGTTAAATGTGTTTATGTTTTTCTTCAGGTTGGAAAGGAGTACAGAAAGGTGATACTAGAAGCTGGAGGCTCTGTGGACGGGATGGACATGCTGAGGACCTTTCTCGGACGCGAACCACGCCAGGATGCTTTCTTTCAATGCAAAGGACTGATTACGGCCCCAGAAACAAAAACTTTATAAATAAAAAAAATTTAAATGTTACATTTATTTGAAAGAAAACATTTACGTAACCGTTTCATTGCAAAAATGGGTACAAGAATAAAAATATAGGATTAATTCTACTACATTGTCAGACACTTGATTTTAAAAGAGCATTACAAAAAAAAATAAAAAGATGAGGAAAATCATTAGATTAAGGGATTAAAATAGTTTGTTTGTTTGTTTTTTACTCCAGAAACCTTGGTGGACCAACACCAGCTGATGACATGCCACCACAAACCATCACTGAATCGGGACTTCAAGCAGCAGTTGATTATGTCCGTCCTCTCTTTCTGCAGATTCTAACCAAATACCTGCCTTGACTACAAAATACTTTTAATTTTGTTTAGACAACTAAATCAACAATTTAGCTCTTGCACTCCTTATCCCAAATAAGACGATGCACTAATTTATTTATTATGATTTATTTATGCAAAAACTGAGGCCCAACCAAGAAATAGAGTACATAGAACTGTTCTTATTTCTCAAAGTCTGATATTTCAGTTTAAAATATAATTTTAGATTCATATTCTACTCCTGAGTCTAAGAGAATGATTTTTGATGTTCAGAAAATGATCCGAAAATAAAGGTTTGGGATATTTAATTTCAATAAATTGAGCTCCACTTCTGAAATGAGGGTGGTGAATGTTTCCACAAATAATCAATGAACATTATTCAGTGCAATAAAGGTAAAACTCACAGTGGAAACTGCATACTTTTGTACTGTTCCTACACAGCCTGTTAATCTATATTTAAGTGTCTTCTGAAAAAAATGGAAGAAAGTCGAGGTTTGGAAGAAATATTCCCGGGATTTACTTTCCCTAAAGCTAAAATTTAAATGTTTATTTTTCCTTCTAGTAATCTGTTTCCATCCAGTCTTTTCAGTCATACTCCTCAATTATTTTCATGAATAATCAGTGGCATCATTTGGTCCATTCATCCATGCATCCAGCATTTTTTAAAGGAAGGGATACTGGACACTAAGATCTAAAGATATGGAATTTTTGTAGAAATAATGTGCAGAAACTTCGTTCAAGATGTTATTTAAGGGGTTTTCCTTTCTTGTTACCTTTACATCATAAGAAAGAGTAGAATATTACGTCTGGTTTAAGAAAAAAACTAAATGGAAGAAATGTCCATCATGGTATTATTGAGGATGAAAGAGCGCTTTTATGATCACAACTTTGTTTACATTTAATCTGACAAACAATTTAAACTTGTTAAAAGCACTCTAGAGGAAAATGTAAAAATTTGAATGGTAATGTTTAATTTACGGCTTTATACGGAAGAGGATTAGGGCCACTGAAAAAAAAAAAAAATTAACTGATTTTTAAATCTCAGAATTCGGATTTTTGTCTCTGAAATCTGACTTTTTTCTCAGGCTTTAATCTTTAATCTCAGAATTTTGGCTCTTAATGTAGATGGGCACCATGAAGGGAGAGATGTGGGAGCACTCGGCTTCACTGACAAAGATGTGAGTTGTTTGGGAGGGCCAGCAGAAGGTGATTAAAACAAGAGAGCTAGTTTCTAAAACAGACATGGCTACATCTTGATGCTAACATGTTTGTTAGCTGTCAGAATGAAGTCAGAATTCTGAGAATGAAGTCAGAAATCTGAGAAAAACAGTTCTGACTTTAAAGTCAGAATTCTGACTTTTTTCCCATTTTAAACTGAAATAATATTAAAAAAACATTTTCCAGTGGCCCTAATTCTCTTCCGTAGCTTTACTTTCCTAGATTAAGTGAAAATTTGCCCATATTGTTTTTTTTGTTTTTTGTTTTTTTTTATCAAAGAAAAGTATTCTGGATTTACAGCAGGGGGCGCCAAAACGCTAAAAGTGTTTGCAGTCTCCTAACATAATGGTGCAAACACATTTTCTATGTGTGGGAAATCGGATTTTAAAATAAATAATTTACAGCGGGGAATTCACATTTATGGTTTGGTCTGCGCTGGGGACGCGTTAAGAGAGGAAGAATATAAGAAGGAAGGAAGAGGAGGGGGGAAGATGGGGATAATCACTAAACACAGTCTGGGTGAGATAGTGAAAGCATCACCGCAGCGGCTGTGAGTGAAGCTGGGAAAGCGACTTCTGGTGTACAGTCGTCTGGTAAAGGTCGCGGAGAAGAAGCTCGCCTCATCATCTGGAGTCCGCGAGCCTCCATGTAGCACCGAGCGACCGTTGAACAGCCGCGACTGTGGCCAACGATTAAAACCCGAGGAAATTATGAGCGAAAACATCTGGGTGCGGCGCGCTTTAGAGGAAAACGTTTCAGTCGGAGGTCGTACGCATTTTTTTTTTTTTTTTTTACCTTTTCTATTTCCTTACTGATAGTCGTGGACATTTTGGATTTGTTTGATGTTCGGTGTCGTTAATTCACACTAGTTGCGGGTCGTTTCGCTGCGTGGTCGCCTTTATACTCACTGGGAGGGTAAAGCACTTAAATTAGCGAAAACAGCAGAAGAACTTGAAGGCTGCTGCTTAGAAGAAATGTACGCAGTGGGCCAGCAGCTTCAACTTGCTCTTTAAGTGGGCACCACTAGCTAGCTGCTAATCCGAAACCTCACAAGCTAACCGTTGCTTGCTATTTTGGAAATTATTTTTTTTGGAAAGCGGTACTTTTATTTTAATTTTATTTTTTTTAACCGTACCTGGACACCAGTAAATAACGGAAAAACTCTGCGTGAATTGAGGTAAGTGTCTTTGTTTGCGTAAGTTATGGGGCCCCCCATGCTAACACTGCTGCTAGCCTCACCGTGGCGTCCTGGAGTGTTTTCCCATTCTCACACTGTCCCATCTCAGTTTTATTTGATAATTCAAGCTAATTTTACCTCGAGCTGTTTTAATTAATGTAGCATTGATGGCACAAACTCTGTCAAGGAAAGTGAGCACATTTTACATCTAAAACAACCGTATGTTTGGGAATGCTACACTTTAAAAACCTCCATTCTTCAACTTCCACTGCTCAGCATACATTATATATATTTATATATTGTAACTAACAAACTAGGACAGGAAATACCATTTGTTATAAAGTGAATTTACTGCTAATGGTTGTCACTGTCTTCTTAACAGATATGAGATTTCTAGCTCTAATGTAAACAGAGCTATCAGCTGCCATTGTTTCTACCCATTTAAGAACTGATAGCCATCTACAGAGACAGCTGCATTTATTGACAACTGCCAATTAAGATGTTATAAGTTTGTCATTGCTACGGCAACATCTTTGATTTAAAATAGGAAATGTAATCTTTAGTGTGTCACATGTATGCGAGTTGTAAACATTAACAATAGCATGCAGCAGAAAATCCCAAGTGTAGTCATCATTTGTATTAATGATTGCTTTAAAAGGGGGGAGTTTTTAGGTTTCTTGTAATATTTCATAAAAAATTGACATAAAGTGAGTTTAACTTTATGCATCAGCTCTCTTTAACTTCAGTATTTGGTTCATGTGACTTAGACTTGGGCAACTTTTATTGTTTTTAAGAAATTTTGCTTTCTGCAGCTCTCAGACAGTGAATGAGCAGCAGTTAGCAGTGAAATTAACATTTCTAATTCATAAAGTGCAGCACACTGAAAACAGTGTGGGAGAAAAAAAAACAACGATTTTGCCTTCTTTATGAATGACCTGAAATATTCTGGATTATTATGGATCATCACTAGACATGTTGTAGAGTCCAGTAAATTCTTTATTAAAATCATGTTCATGACACACTACACAAGGACAGCATGATGGAAAGAGAAACAAGTCTACAACAGAGATCCACCATGATAAGCTTTTTGAAATATAAGTTACTGCTTCCTTGTTGCTCCATCCTGACAAGACTGCTCATTGTTTGTTAGTCTATTTATTAACTCAGTCATGTTTTATGACCACTTGTTAGTCTTTTGGTCATTTTTTTTTTTAATAATCTCAGACCTGATTTGTTGTTAAATGAAAGCTTGCAGAGGTGTTTAATAATTGAAACAATCAAACAAACCTCATGGGGAATTCATTTTTTTCTTTCATATAAAAGCACATATGGTGTTTAAGTTGAGGTTTGAAAAACATGTGAAAAATGTTTGACCCACATTTAAAAACAATGCTACATAAAAAAAAAAGCTGAGTTCACAGCTCAATGTTAGTGTAATAAAATGAACACAAATGCGAAAAACAATACCTCCCAATTTCAGTTTATTTTTCTAAATATTTTAGTTTTTGATTGCTGATGAATTTATCGCAGCTGGAATTACTCTAGTTGATATAATTGGCTAAAATGAAATGAATAGCAGCCTATTTAATCAAATGTTAAGGTCTGTGTGATAAAATCTCCATGACACTTTAGATTATTTCATCTTGCAATTAAAAAACCCACAAAAAAATTCAAAGTTGAAATCTTATTCAGTTTTTTTTTATAAATAAATATAAAATAAATTACTATTTAGTTGACATATTTAGATTACTCTAGATACATGTATTTATTTCTAAGCTGTTTAGATATATACATCTATTTAGTTTAAGATTTGTATATTTACAATTTAATGCTCTGTTTCATGTTTCAGTTGCCATCTCGCTCTCATGTTTTCTATAAGCCATACCTTTGTTTATATAAGGCTGTCGCTTTGTTAAATGTCATCCCCTCCAACAGTCATTAAACTAACCGCTGTAGCAGCAGCAGCAGCTTCATCCTTGTTGTTTCCAAAGATTACTGTTTGCTTTTCACTCAGTTTCCAGGCTTTCTTATACTACCATTATATTCTAATATTGCTAGTGGAGCTTTGAAGCTACAACAGGAGACACCACTTAGAAATGATGGTAAGAGCTCTGCCTCAATGATGGAAAAAGCAACAAGAAAATAAATAAATTAGAAAATAAATGTGCAAGTTAAACTGGGAACCAATTTGGTCCTAATTCTAAATATTGGTGTTTTCCCTGTCAAGTGAAAGTGGTAAAACTATGAATTATTATTAATTGACAAATTTGTTCTGAATCTCCCACGTTTCGGTCTGTGTATATTATTTAATTGATCAAAACCCATGAGACCTGACTGTGCTGACAGATAAAAGAGATTGTTGTCAAAGGGAAAGTGTTGTTGTGTGACAGGATACCAACGCTGTCTGCATCCAAATCAGGGGATTGTCTCACCAAAAAAAAAAAAAAAAAAAAGGAAGGGATTTGTCTGCCTTCAGAATCATGCTCCTGATTTGACGGCTGTGTTGTCGTCTTGTAAACAGATGCTGAGTCTGATGAGGCTTCAGAAGACTTTCTAGCGATAATGTAAACAAAGCTATCTGCCTCCCTTTGTCATTTCCTCCACTTACAATCTAAGATATGATGGGAATCAGTTTAAATCTGTGGTAGAAACTACAATCATTTATACCACTGGTTTAAACAAAACGGAAAATTGGTAGAAGAATCAGACCTTTTAATTAAAACTTATTTGATAAAAGTTATATCTTATATTTGCAAAGTAAGAAATCGGCTAATCTTTTTGATGCTTCACATTATTTAAAGTTTTTAGTAACTTTGCTTTGTTTCCCTATGTTGCTGCAGGCTTGTTTTTCTTCCAATTACTGGAATAAAAACTTAATTTGAATAAGTAGAAAAAAAAGGA